GTCTGTGTGGTCTACAGTGAATTTATTCCTGACAGCCACAGTTGATAAGGTTCCCCTAGGATTCCATAAAAAATGCATTTGGGTCATTTTTGACCCACTTATGGAAGCTTTGGGGTAGTAATACAAAAACTTAAATTTCTTAAAATGTAAGTTAAACATTTGAATGGCATGATATCAAAAGCATGTTTTTTGAGGAATAGCTGGAATGTGGAATATAATTACAAGGATAATTCAAGAAAACCACCACACCGGGTCATTTTTGACCCATTTATGCATCTAATGGTTAAGATAAAGCTGGCACTGCATTGTTACTGAGTAAAGATATCTGATAACGACTGAAAATAGACATCCAGATCATGTTATGCTTTTTAACTAATGTTTAATTATATATTGTCATAATGGTTGTCAATTTACTGTACTGAGTTTTGTTGCACCACTGAAATTATATTGTCCTGTTCGTCTTTTAACCAATAGGGGGCGACACGTTGCCTCCTAACTAAGGACACGTCACTACACTACAGCGGCAAGGTAGGAAACCAAATTTGAATGACAGTCAAATATCCAATCAGAATTATGTGCGATTTCTGTGGACCGACGGTCGACCAATAAACGCGCAGCAACGCGTGATTGGGGCGGGATTATTTCTCGATTAAGGTTGTGTGTGAATAGTGTATGAGAAACAGGAACGGAGCGGGTGAGTCTTACTGAAGATTAAATATTACATTTGGGAGCTTTAACAGGAAAACTAATTGTGTATTGTAAGCTGTTGTCCTGCTGTAATTTGTGAAGGTGTCGCTGATATTTTCAAAATAAGTCTGTCAGGAGGCGCGGGGCAGAGGTGTTCATTATACAGACGCTAGCAGGTTAGCCTCGCTAGCCACACTTTTAACTGGCTGAAATGGAAGCAGCATCAGCACTAGCCGGCCTGATGCTGACTTGCTGTAAGATGCAGTCCAGGCTATAACGATGCTTGCATTGTTTCTAAATGTACATATTGTGCGTGTTAATAGGTAACGTGGTGCACAAACACTAGCTAATGTTGATTTCCTTGCTCTGTGATGTTAGGAGTGCCGGTTGAGTCTCAGTACTTGTAGGGCTAGCTCTAATTAGCATTAATAAGAGCTCTTTTTAGCTTGCTGGTTTGTGTTTTTGCTTTGAAAAACCTACAAAATGTGCAGAATACAGGCATAAATCCCTGCAGAGGTTTTCCAGAGTGAGTGCTTCCTGGTTCCTGATGCCACATCTGAGAACGTGGCCTTATCTGGTTGGTCTGGACATGGAAGTTCACTCTTTACAGTTTCAAGACTTTGATTACTGTATATGATGATCTGGCTTATTTAAAACCTGACATTACAAATAAGTTATTTGCAGGATCTATTTCTGAAATAGAAATGTATATTAGGCAATGTTTTTTTTCCTTACATCGTATCAATAGGTGGTTCGATTTTTTACATTGATCCCAATTTGGGAAATTGCCACAGCAACATGTAAAAGAGGGATTCATATGTAAAGTGCATAAACGGTCAATTTAAACATATTAACAGTAGAAATAGAACATGCACAAAAACAGTAAATGTATAAACATATCAACAATCAATGTGTCTTTAGTGTATCTCTATGGCACACTACAAATATACAAAATAGGTTAGTATACAAAATAGACCAACTTACTACAAATTGTAAACGGAACATATATGATATGTCTTCAAAGTGATTGAAGTTAAAAGAAAAGTAAATGAAGTACAGTGTGAGAACAATATATACAAATCAATGAATTAGGTTTATGCAAAGGGAATAAAAAGTCGGTGTAATAAACTATGATGCTGGGAGTTCTCTGCTAGCCAGAGGTAAAGTGTTGTACGGAGTTATAGCTGTTGGCAGTACGATGATCTTCGTTGAGACAGTGGACCTGAATCAGTCTGTTAGAGGAAGAACTTGTACCTCAGTCTTACAGTGCCTGTCTTCCTCCCATTAGGTTGTATGGTGAGCTGTTCCTAAACTCGCCAAAATGACCAAGCTGGGCTTCCTCCGTTTGTCCTATGAGAAGCAGGACACGCTGCTGAAGCTGCTCATCCTGTCTATGGCTGGCATCCTCTGTAAGTTCTCTACTTCCCATACACAATGCCATGCTCTCCCTCAAAACAAACTCAACACATTGATCAATGTGCTTTCCCTTCTCTTCAGCATTCTCCACCAGACTCTTTTCCGTCTTGAGGTTTGAGAGTGTCATCCATGAGTTTGATCCGTAAGTGTCATGCTTATTTCCAAGCATTGTGAAGAACAAAGTGTGTTTAACGTGTCATTAACTTGCCTTTATCTCATCTTCAGGTACTTTAACTACCGCACCACCCGCTTCCTGACAGAAGAAGGGTTTTATAAGTTTCACAACTGGTTTGACGACCGGGCATGGTATCCTCTAGGGAGGATCATTGGTGGCACCATTTATCCAGGTAGGAATCAGAAAAATATATAAGAGAGCAAAGTAGATGAATGTTTGCTTATAATCTTTACTCTGGGTGGTTTGATATCCAAAGTAGAGCAGTTCAAGTGTTGTTTCAGTTAAAGAACAGAGGTTAATCAGTGTGCCTTTCATTAGCACTAATGCTAAGCTAACCTGGAACACCTTGTCTCGTCTCCCCCTCTCCTCTCTCCAGGACTTATGATCACCTCTGCCGTCCTTTACCATGTCCTACATTTTTTCCACATCACCATTGACATCCGTAATGTCTGTGTCTTCCTGGCTCCCTTGTTCTCCTCCTTCACCGTCGTCGTCACCTACCACTTCACCAAGGAGTTAAAGGTAGAAATGTTATTTAAGAATATAAACTCTAAGTGCTCTTCTTTCTATTAAAGGGAACTCCGGTGATTTAGCTTTGAATTAAAAATAAAGCAGTCAAAATCCAGGTAGAAGATAAACGCACACATCTTTTAAAAGGTCCGCACCACCAGATGGTAACACAGGCCTTCTTTTGATTAGTTTGTGTCTTAATCCCACATTTAAGTATAAAACCATGACTTTATCAGGGTCATTTTTTAATGTCGCAAAATAAATTGTTAAACATATTTCCCAGATTAGAACAGAGTGTTGCTTTAGAATCCTGTTAATAATAATATATAAATAATAAACTTTATTTACATAGTACTCTTCTTAACATGATTACAAAGAACTTTATATTAAAAAAAAAAAACAGCTATGATGAGTATAGGTTAATGATGCTTTTATAGTTATGATGGTGTACACAATGTTTCCACTAAAGCCCTCCTCCCCTGCAGGATGCCGGTGCGGGGCTCCTGGCTGCTGCCATGATTGCCGTGGTGCCCGGTTACATCTCTCGATCTGTAGCTGGCTCCTATGATAACGAAGGTATGCATGCACTTGATATGCAAAACACTGTATTTGAATAAAAACCTGACTAAAAGATTGTTAATGAAATCCCTCGGTGCTGTCCTACTCAGGGATTGCCATCTTCTGCATGCTGTTGACCTATTACATGTGGATCAAGGCTGTGAAGACGGGCTCAGTGTACTGGTCGTCCGTGTGCGCGCTGGCCTACTTCTACATGGTGAGGATAGACCAAAGTGCATGATACATATTGTATATTTCTGAGTTCATCGAGGTCCTGATAAGGCATTTGTGTAAATATATAGGTTTCCTCTTGGGGTGGCTACGTGTTCCTCATCAACCTGATCCCCCTCCATGTCCTGGTTCTGATGCTCACGGGCCGATTCTCTCACCGAATCTACGTGGCTTACTGCACAGTGTACTGCCTCGGCACCATCCTCTCCATGCAGATCTCTTTTGTCGGTTTCCAGGTGAGTGAAGATGAAGTGCTGCACAGTATGCCCAAACTAGAAAAGAATCACATTACTACTTGTCTAAAAAGTGGCACTATACCCTATATTATAATGACTGCATACCATTTTTGTTTCTTCTTCAGACACGTGCATATACAAGTGCACGACAACAGTAATAATTGTAACAAAACCATGTCTAAGAAATGTTTATGTTGGCAAGACAGATAACATTCTTTGAACTTCCTTTTAATTAACACCAACGTTTTGTATTGATATTATTGGGCTATGCTAATGTTATGTTAAGACAGGTGATGGTACAGTAACTCAGATTTGAGTGTGCATGTCCAAAAGAGTCTAACTATGGTTTGCCAGTAGGACGCTGGAAGTCTGCAACTGTGGATCAAAACAAGTTTTTAGCCGTGTTACCATGGAGTCCTGCCATTTAGTTATCAAATGCAGTGCTGTTGCACACAGCCTGTTTTTGAATCATCAAGTAGTTATTGGAGTTTTATTTTTGATCAACCTTTGTTTAAGATTTTGAAATCTTATAGAACATGAGTTAGAAGTAAGACACCCTTGCAGACTGAGTTGCATAGGAACTTAGCACATTGGACAAACGGCTATTATACCGAGCATTTTGTTGACAAAGCAGACTTGCCGGGATATTGAACTAAAGTACCGCAAAAGTTGTGTCTACACTTATGAAGGTAAAACAGATATCTTTTCACATTGAAAGCTAGGCTAGACTTAAACACTGGATCACTACTTACCAGAGGGAACTTGATTCCACAAAATAACTGACAATACTGCTAATACTTGTATTCTCTTCAAGAATTTAAACTTATTCAAGCAGCATTGTGACATGTTAAGGTGGGGAAAATGTGGCCTTTAGAGTTTCTCTGTTGGGATATTAAAGGTATGAACACAATAGGGTACAATGATACACTTCTGTTGTTTTATGGCTTATTTCCACATCCTCATTGAGAAATGTAGGCAGGTACAGTATCAGTCAAAGTATTAATTTTAGTAACAACACCAGTACTGTCTCGTGTTTCTTCAGTTACTCTGATCAACCCTTAAAATAAAATGTCATGTGTTGGGGAAAAAGGTTCTGTGTCCACAGTCTGACTTCCTGTCTGTGTCATTATCCAGCCGGTGCAGTCATCAGAGCACATGGCAGCTTTCGGTGTGTTTGGCTTGTGCCAGATCCACGCCTTTGTGGACTACCTGCGCAGCAAATTGAATGCCCAGCAGTTTGAGGTGCTGTTCAAGAGCGTCATCTCCCTGGTGGGCTTCCTCATGCTGTCTGTGGGGACCGTTCTCATGCTGACCGGTAAGAGGGCTCACCAGCAGAAACATGCAGAAGAACGTATTAGATTAACACTCTCTTCACCTTCTCCTTTCCTCTTGTGAGAAACCAATGTAGTTTTTGTTTGGATCATGACTGACCAAAAGTATCTTCCTTCAGGTAAGATCTCTCCATGGACTGGTCGTTTCTACTCTCTTCTGGATCCCTCCTATGCCAAGAACAACATTCCCATCATCGCCTCTGTCTCTGAGCATCAGCCCACCACCTGGTCCTCGTACTACTTTGACCTCCAGCTGCTGGTCTTTATGTTCCCAGGCAAGTTTTTTATTTAACCAGATGAAAACATTGAGACAACATCTCATTTACAATGCTGACCTGGCCAAGAAGGCAGCAACGTTACACGTTCTTACATTCTTCCACATAACACAGACATATAAAATACAGAAACCACAACTAAGTAAACAAAAAGACAAAAAGCAGTCACTACATTGTGCACATTTGGGACAGTACTTATTACTGCAAGAGCAGCTGGTGGTAAGGACTTCAGACAACTTCAATTAAAAAAACAGGCTATAGGGACAAGTGCCGTCAGTTTGAGGCTTGATTGAAGGTCATTCCAAGACCAAGGACCATAATAAAAAAGACTCCTTTTTCCAGCCTCAGTCCGCACAGCAGGTACCTGGACCCGTATCCAGGCACTGGATCTGAGGTTGTAAGAGTCACAAACTGGAGCAAATCTGGCACAGTACATTGGAAGCTTACCTAAAATGGCTTTATACATTAATAAAAACCAATGCTGCATCCTACACATACTAAGTGAGGACCATCCAGTTAGGCTGTACAGTGTGCAATGATGAGTCCTATAGGGAGCATTTGATATATATCGCAGTGCAGCATGGTAGAGTGGGTCAAGTTTGGCCAAAACAGTGGGACAGGCAAATCTATAGATTGTATCACCGTAGTCAAGCTGGGACAGGAATAAGCCAGAGACCAACCTTTTACTGGAAGAAGTTGAAAAAACGTAGAAGTCTGTAAAGGAAGCCGAGAGTGAATTTCAATTTCTTAGTTAGAACTTCAATATGGTGTTTAAAGTTCAGATTTCTGTCCAACCAAAAGCCCAGATATTTGTAAGTTCACACGCAGAGTAACACAAATCTAGTACTGTATGATCTACATCTTTCATGCACAGGAAGCACACAGATACGTGTATTCTTTTAGGGTTTTTACTGACTGCTCCCTTGCCTTTCCTTACAGTTGGTCTTTACTACTGTTTCAACAACCTGTCAGACGACAGAATCTTCATCATCATGTATGGAGTCACCAGCATGTACTTCTCAGCTGTCATGGTACGTCTTTAATAGTCACACGTACTTCTCAAACAACTCTGCAGAGAGCCGTCGATCTGTTTACTTAGGTTTGTGAAATCTACAGTGTCACCAGAAGATGGCATAGTTGCTTGATTAAACATAGCTGAATGGAAATGCATGTATTCAGTAAAGGTTTTTGATGTTGTTTTTATCTCTATACCTTAGTGCATCGATGATGTACCTTTGCATGCCGACGTCGGTAGTTAGCAACGCAATTGCTTCCTCAACTAAAAGCAATGGGGTTTTTAATTGGATTTTTAAATATTGCAGAAATGAAGATCTGTTGCAAACAGACGTTGATGTTACTCGCATGTATTGTCTTGCGGGATCATCTCCACATATACCAAACACCACTGAAGTGATCATTGAAGCATAAATGCAATCGACAAATAGTAAATAAACTAACTACATGGCGGTCACATGAGCTGTTGTCATCACTGCTAAGCTAAAGGTTGCTAATATTTGTGTAATAATAATGTTTAGTAGTCTAATTTGGGACACATAAAAGCTACAAACATTCACCATTGGGGAATTCATTGACGTATTTCATTTCATAAAACAAAACGTGAAAATCTCATTAGCTTGTGTTAACAACAGGCACCTAACCTAAAACTCGATCAAAATAACATTTGAGACATGACTTTGAGACCGTTTTTAAGTGCTAACGTACTTATTTCTGGATGTAGGACTCATTCCTGCACCACTCTACATGGGTTAATGCAGTGGTGGGGGTGCCAAATAAAGCAGAGCGGGCGCCAGGCCTCAGATGATTTGAGGCCAAATATCATATTTAGACTTTTTTTTTAACATATAATTGTAAAGCAATACATGATTATCACTAAAAGCCTTGTCTCTACATTACAATAAAGCATATAAAATAATCGATTAATTCATTTGAATAAAAATTCAAGTTAGTAGCTATAAAGGCATAAAAAGACAAAAATATATAATTCTTTCTTTAATAGAAATGTTTCTTCTGCCCGTAAAGTGTCCAAACCAGGCGTTTCTGGATAAGCGCATTTTTAAAACATAGTCATTGTCCATGCCGGTTTCAGATTATTTGTCACAGTTGCTCCGATCAGATCGGTCTCCTCCATTTTATAGATTATTTAAGACTTTTGAATCCACATAAACACATCGGCAAAATCCGGCTTACTTTGAGCATGTGTTTTAAACAGTTTAATCCCTTTGTGAATTGTTTCCACTTGCACCATCCTTTAATTTCTTCATACAGCGAGAATCCAAATGAATGAATCCTGAGTCCGATAACCATCAAAGTCACTCCAATAGTGCTCCTTAATTACGCTTTCATCCTCCTTTAACAAAATACTTCACATTCATCCAGTTTGTGACAGTAGTTGTAGCATTTGAGACTTTGAAACTTTAATTACCGCTGTTGCGCCCCCCCCTTGTGTGTGTGTGTGTGTGTGTGTGTGTGTGTGTGTGTGTGTGTGTGTGTGTGTGTGTGTGTGTGTGTGTGTGTGTGTGTGTGTGTGTGTGTGTGTGTGTGTGTGTGTGTGT